CATTATTAGAAAGAGACGCATTCCAGTTCTCCGTGGTGCTCTTTGAGTTAGGAATTAGTAAAACAAAGGGTTACAATCTAACAATGCATCCACAGGATGATTTGTAACTAAAGTCGGAGTACCACCCGAGATTATGTTTTAGTTATATCACTCTATGTGGATGTAAGTAGTTTAGTTATGTGTAGAGTTATGGACCAACTACAGACTTGTTCGTAATCAGGGCAAGCGCAGCTTAACCTCACGATTGGTTAATCCATTCGTTATTATATTACGTTGTTTCTATTCATTTTACAGCAACTATTGCGAGGAACGTTTATCTGATGTTAATGAAATTTGTAATATCATATTATATTTAGAGTGCATTACCTGACAGTTTTGTTACGCAACGAATTTGTCTGTATATTATTAATGGTGGGAAAATAGTTCATATCAATCCACTCTCTCGCCGTTTTCTCAGAACTTTAAACGTTTTGTCACTTGAATAGAATTTCAAAATAAAATAAATGACCTAACAGCAGCAAGCACATCCTTACTCAAAGTAACGATACAAAATGTTTACAAAATATAATAACTAGTTAGGTAACAAACAATGTTCACATCTTTCGCAAACACAGTGAAGGACGTTCCTATTACTAACGTTCCAAGAAATATCTGCTACAAGACTAAATACTAGAACATTTCAATACTATTCTCTATTTCAAGACTTGTTGATCTTGAAAATGTAGTCGTGCACGAGATTTTAATGCACCATTGTAAGTTTTCTGTGAAAACGTCCGCGAAAGAGAAATAAACATGCTGTATAGTGACCGTCCAAGTGTATGTACTTAGCACTAACACTTGGCTTTGGAGTCAGTGGCACGTGCAGCGATATATTGCGGAGAAATTACACTGAAGTGAAACGAGTGTAATATGAGATTCAGTTTCACTGATAATTAGGTACGTAGCTATATTTTTATGTAACAGTTTTGCTTTATACTAGGCATTAATTAAAGAGTAAGATGTTTCTTTTACAAACTCCACTCCAGATGTTCACACTATAAAAGTCTTTAAAATGTCCAAACCTCACAACTTAGTTTATCATGCTACCGTATAAGAATTAGTAAGAGCGATCCATATCTCATATTTTTTTCATCTCATTTTCAAATACTTAGTTTTGTATCTTTATTGATATTCTCATTATTACAATACTTCTGTTTAATTTTTATTATAACCTATGTTTTTAAAATCTTAAAGTCTTTCATTTTATGTTCCTGAGAATGTTTATTTCGTAAGTAGCAGTATTTTTTTCAGTTTACTAAAATTATTTTCCTTGATCGTTTGTATAGTTTTTTATCACTTGGTTAAGCTATATTTGGCGACTGTATAAGCCCAATACCTATTGATACCTAGGTATGTTATTTCTAAATATTTTCTATACAGAAGCTGTTGCTATAATAATAAATAAATAAATAAAGATGTTAAGATCTATTTTGTGTTCCATGCACTTCAAAATTATTTATTTTTGACGTACCAATATTTTCAGATTAGGTTTAACGTCGCATTTGTTTTATTTTATAAACATAGCTTTATCAGCTTCGAATGTCATGAGACACAATAGACAACACATTGTGTCTCCCGTAGATCTATTTGCGTTCCAGTATACCGCGGGCTAAGGATCCGTATTGAATACTTTCAACCCGCCTAATGTATAAAGTTAAACAAACTAGTTAAGTAAAATATGTTATTGTTCCAAGTTCCGGAGCAAACTTCAAGAATTAATGTAACTTTTGTCTGCAACTTTGTCAAATGGACTTGGTACATTATCAAAAGTACATTAAGCGACATTTTTAGGATAGTGTAGACGCATTCTGTTAGAGTAGTAAGCGAGTATTTTAGAGTTAGTTTTGACGTAGTTATCGATAATGAAGTAAATGACTTGAATTACTTTTATATTAATAATATATTATAATCAACAACACTTAATAATAGACAACGACCGTCGGGACTATTTTGCAATAACTAAGTTAAGTTAATAATAACTAAGCGGTTATCTAGTAAAGCAGTTACTTCGTTGTTCGAGTAGCCAGAAAAGCGACCGCTAAGCAAGGCATTTTGGATTAGATTCCAGGGTCAAATAAAGTATTACTGGGATTAATATTACGGTATATGGTACTGGAATCATAATATAACAATAAATGATTTCCCCATTCTATGGAACTTATCACAAAACTGTGAAAAGTCGGTGCTAAAATGTTTATGTGCAATGGTCGTGACGATCTATTAATAAACGGTTACTATAACTAAATAATGAAGTCGTATCCTTTAGCCTTTAAATAACTAATATAGAATAATTGTTGTCTACCTGTAATTGAACGTCGTTTTTCATTCCAACATGCCATGTCACTGGGTTTCCCCAGACGTATTTATGAACTATAATTATTGTAACAACCAAGCAACAATTTTATTACTCAAATGATATTAAAATTGCGTTTTGTTAAGTTGGTCGTACATTTGCACCACACCAAATACACTTTCTGTGTAACAGGAAGTAGCTAAACAGGGAACAAATCATTCAAACAATCAAAGATAATACATATATTTGACCTACTTGGTTTCTGATACTCTTAAAATCACGTCGTTTAAAAATAATACTTCAATACTTATGTAAAATATTGAGCGAGTGTAGCCCTCTGCAGTCATAACTTTAGCTTGTAATATCCTTCTTAGTAATCTAAGTCTTTAAACCCCAAAACTTAAAGACAACATTTAACTTATACGACTCATGTAAACTATTCTCCGTGTTCGTATTTCAACGATTTTATGTCACCCCGGGGTTCGCACAAGTTGCTAACTTCTGTCAACTACCAGGTAAATTCAGGTAGTTGGATGAAATATTCCTTCGACACCGCAATAACAATCCACCCAGCTATGCGATTACCCACTACGAACTGTTTTAAGCAACATTAAAAGGGTGAAATCCATTTAAATAATTTCAACTTTTGTGAAGGTTTATTAACTTCGTTGTTGAAACTCCTACCATAGATTCAAACATAATTCTTGAACCACCAGCGTTAAAATTCTCAGTTCCGTCATAATTCATTTCAATTTTACGTTTAAACATTAAAAGTTTTTAAATAAAATGTAACGACAACAAAGCAGTCGAATTTAACGTTATCTTGTTCCTTAATGCAATTTATTTGCGCTCGTTAATGAAGAACAGGCTGGAACAAGGCAAACAAAATGTTTGAGGCAGTTTCATTAAGAAATATTCAACCGTATAATTAAAGTGAATCAAGAGCCGGTGACAGTCCAGTGCGACTACCTCCTTTACAATAAGAGGATTTGTCATTCCATCATTTGCCAGCCGGGTTGAAGATAGCAGTTTGAAAGGTTCAGACAGAGCGGTGCTGCACGGTCTCAGTCAAATCACAGTAGTGCCTTTATTTAACTTTTACAACACCTACGGAGATTGAGCAGAGGTGGCACCAAAACGGCACAACCATCACAACGCGGCAGTTGTAATTACTGGTCAGAAAGTACCCACCGTATGTCAAAGATACTGCATTGCTTCACACAAATACATACGGTACCTAGTTTGCCTCTTACAATCACAATGTCCCAGTCATTATAACTTAGTAGATGTCTAGTAATTACACGTTTAGCTCTCAAATTAATGATTCATTAGTCCCGGTCTGTGTCAAAGGCAGTCTTGACTACAACACTATTAAGCTCCGCTATTTTCTGTCAGCGAAGTAGCTGCTTATTAACTGGTTTTAGTCATTAAACACTTTGTTCAGTAATTATTTATTTATTTATTTTACACTTCTTGGACATATAATAGACAATGAGGGACTTAACGCCTAGTGGCATTCTCTAAGAGTCAACCTGACGGTGATCCAGAAAGACGTAATTACTTTGTTTTTATAATAACTATCGTGACGTATACTAAATTAACTAAAAATCGCAGGTTACTCACGTGAATGTACTGAGAAAAGCTCTACCAGTTTCGAACCAAAGCTGCCAGAGGCTGCGCGACATCACCGCGACCGCGCACGCTGCTCATGAGGAAGATTCGCACTCCTCTCTGGTTCGCAACTAGTAGAGCTTTTCTCAGTATATTTACATGAGTAACCCGCGATTTTTCGTTAAGACGCAATTACTTGATGGTCGGCATTTTCTGAATTCGCAGTCTTTGCATTGATTTTCCAATTAGGTATAGTATTCATTTCTTTGAAAGTTTGATGTATCCTGTTTAATATTAACCTTATATTCTTTACTAAATCAATATTTAAACATGATACACGCGATGTTTAATAACTGTAAACACTTCAGGGATAACCTTGCAATTATCTATATTTCTATTGCGAATGGTAAATGCAAACATCGTTAGCAACTCTTGCAGAATTGTGCAGCAATCTATAACGTTTTCAATGATTTCTCGGTACTGGAGAAGGCCAGTAAACAAACCAGTAAACTGGAAACGTTCATCTTAAACTTCACCTTGAATTTAACTCGCTTGTTATGTAAACTCAACTCAGTGATTTCCAATCGCATTGTAAATACGTTTGTCCTTCTAACAAACATTAACAGGACTTTCCTCTACTTTTAATTTATTTTCTAAACCTTCTGAAGCGTATACTATTACCTCTATACCCTTCGGAGTCTAATAAATAACGTGTTTCAATGACATTTAAAAGACCTTAAACATTTGTTGCACTTTCGGTCAGCTCATTTTTAAATGGCCGAAAACTATCGTCTACATACTCTTCCCGATCTAAATTCAAGTAATATAAACATGAATTTTCGCAATAAATAATGTATATTTTTAGATTTTTAATAATTTATTTGATTCGTATGAATTTTTCTGGTAAACTTTATAGGTCAAAAACAATTGGTGTTTTGTGATATATGGGGCAATGCGCATATGGGTTACCGCAATACTAGAAGAGGCGTACTAATTCTAGATTCTGCATGTAATAATTACATCGTGTTCCCTTCTAACTTGTATTTATTCTTCGTAGGAGTGCTCGGTCTTCGTGTTCGACAAGCGCATCGCGGAAAAGCTTTATAAGCCGAAGCGCAAGGAGACCATGTTGGACTGCATGCGTCTCTGTGTCTCGTCCATGGAGAAGTGGCGTCATCCGAAGATGTTGCAAATAATCCACGCTTTGGAAGAAGGCACCACCACCATCGCCTTCGCTTCGGAGCCGGTCCTTGCAAGTCTCGCGAACATCTTAGCTTGGCATGTAAGTATTTAGACAATAATTAGATACTATTGTAGGTACTTTCGGTATTCAAAGGTGGTTGATATCTACCCTTATCACTCAATTCCAGCGGATACATGTACCTATTTGTTTTTCGTACATTATAACGCTGCTTCGTTGGTCGAATACACACACACTTCATTGACAACATACCTAACAAAAAATTAGGCATTAAGGTGGTAAAAAATTAGGCACTAAGCTGAATAATTGTTATGCATTACGTATTATCACTACTGACATTTTTTAAAAGAGCCTTTTTCTATAGGACGTAATTCATTCTTAACAGTCAAATCCTAGATCTCTACCACAACGGAGCAACCAGAACAGGTGTAGGTTCCTACTTTAATTGAATTACCTGGCTAAGTTGGATTCAACACGCGATCCCACTACACAATTGAAGTAAGAACAAACGCTGCAGTTTGAAACTAATCAGACGGAACTAGTCGGAAATTAATTAAATAGTTAACAGCTGCTGAAACAATACCACATGTTGACTACATACATACAGTATTAGTGTATTTGTATTTGAACTGTACATTGTTTGCAAATTGTTTGCAATTTGTTTAATAAATCAATAAGTACGCACTAATAGTATAAACGTAGTTATGTAAACAATGGCATGTATTAATTAGAAAATTAGATTCGTATTTTGCGAATTAAAAACAGTTAATATTTTGCTCGTGACGTAATCAATTTAGTAATATATGTCTCAGATTAACAATTTACACATCTTCAATATAAGTAAAATATCACATCAGTGTCTATAACATAACTGTTATAGACAGTGTGTTATGTATCACCATATCAATGACGCCTTTTACCCCCGATTGGGTAGGCATAGGTGCACATTACGGTACTTAATGCCACTGTATAATGTAACATCCACTTTTCACTATTTATGTTATGAGTCCCATGTATTAGGGGGTGAACCTGTTGCCATATACCGGACACATTTGCAGACTCCGTGCTACTATTGAGATTTTTTTAAAGCCAGTATTACTGTGCCCGACCCGGTCACACTTGCGACCACTCGGCCAACGAGACAGTCGGTGTCTATTTATAATTATAATTCTTTTCCACCTGAACATTATCAGGAAAGTCCATTTAATAAATTCCTCATTCATTCTCTAATTAACTTTTAATTTGTCCTCCAACGAATTCGTTCGACGTCCTCATTTGTCATTTAATTTTGACCTCCAATGGACTAAAAACAGTTGGATAAGAACATGACATTTAACAAAGTATTGAACATAAAATATTGAAGTACATATTCAATTATATTATTGACTTTACGACCTACTGACCCTTTACTTTATCGAGCATTAAATCTTTTGACAAAGGTTCGAAAATCTTTCCATTACTGTATTATCATTCCTATGTGACATGCATTCATTGAGGATATTTACAGATGCTAGAATAATGTTAATATTTATCCATGATTAACTAACTAATTGAAGAGTCTATATGGTAAATAAAATTAGTACATAATTTTATTAATTACCTACTGTTACAATTCTTTTAATTTATTCATCACTATTTTACTAAAGTTTTGGCGATCTTGACAACGAACAGCAATCCACTTTAAAATGTACCTACAGATATATGGCTGAGTATATTCAAAACTATTAGTACTAGATACAACTTTCCAATTCATATTTATTTATATTTTGAAATCACTTCCTTCTTTTATTCTGTAATTGGAACTGGCAGACAAATTGATATAAATTAATAATACTATTCAATTTCGAACGCATATAGAGCAAATATATACCTATCCAATATTTCTCTTTTGTGTTTTCTATATTTGTATACCCACAGATGTAAATACTCTCATAACCAACAATTTTTGTTCGTGTAAAAATATTTAATAGCAATCCGGTAATCCTCGCTTACTCGGATTATCCGCACTTTCTCACTTTGCTGAAAATAACTCGTTTTTTACTTTATATAGGTATGGCGAGATCGGAAATATTCAGAGGATTGCAATCATTTCGAGTATATAACGAAATGTATTCATGCATCAAATGCAGTTTGGCTGGAACATTCAGGTTCCCCAAACAATATTTTTAACGCTAGAGGTTTTTTACTTTAAAACGTTTATTAACAAATTATTATGTTTTCGGCTTACACAAGTAATTATTTGCCAAAGAACTCGACTAGTTTCAAGCCATGCTAGAGGCTCATATTCATGAGCAGCATTTGCATCGACCCGGTATTCGAACCCAACACCAACGCAGCTGCCGGCGGGCGAGTCTAGCATGCCAGCAGTGTCGCGCGCGCCGTCGTCCTCGATACCACAAGTAGAGGAAAGTGCACGTGAATCACGGCATAGGGCGCGCTGGGCCCGCAGACTCGAGTAGCCAGTAGCAGCGCGACAGTCGCCGCGTCGCAAGTCGTGAAATGCTGCTTATGAATATGAGCCTCTAGCATGGCTTGAAACTAGTCGAGTTCCTCGTCAAATAATTACGTGAGTAAGCCGAAAACATAATAATTTATTTATCACGAAAGTTAAAATACGTATATTAACAGTAAAATTCAAAAGTATTAAAGTAATTTGTGAGTAGTAGGTAGTTCGATATACTAGTATCTAAACTCTGTGACGGGCAACAATGAGAGGTTTACCCTTCATTAATTATTCCACAGCTAAAATAAGATGTCACCTTCCCCACCTCTGGTTTAATAAATATGAAAACCTTTTTAAAGGACTCCGTTTCACTTTAAGGGTTCCCGATAACCGACGGTCTTCTAATAAAAACGTACTGCTTTTGGAACAGACGAAAAACAATATTGGCTACCTTAGTCATAAATGAGGTTGATTTACGAGCCGGCTATGTTACGTAATACCTCTACCTTGGGTAGGAGCCCCCCAGCTTTGAACATGACACCTCATTCTATCCCTCGAGTACAGTAAAAATATAAACAGATGTTATTACAACGCTACTTGACTAAGTAATAAACGAGTAATTCAGTAATTCTAGCATATGAGTTTGGATATGTTATCTTTTAAACATAAATCTAAATTAAAATCCAAAGTGATTTAAAAACATATCTTGGACAGTTTCATTGCCTAATTAGGCGGTCATCTACTAGTCTCCTTCAAATTAACGGGTCTAATTGTACCTGATACAAACTAAAGTGTATATTGTGATAACATTTTAGAATAGCAAAGACAATAGTTATTACTAATAATATAACATCACGCCTTTATCTCCGAAGGTGTGGCAGAGGTTTACGGCATTTAATGGCACTGTACAATCTAGAACACATTTTTCACTATTTATGTTATGAGTCCCCTGTAATAAGGGGTGGCGCTATGGCCATATACCGGACACATTTCCAGACTCCGTGCTACTACTGTGATTTTACTACTAATGTAGTTCCTAAAATTGATTAAGGCAAAACAAATATT